CTCAAACGTGGAAAAAGAAAACTTACCCTCATCAACAGTAAACAGACATAGCTACAGTACAAGCTAACAGTAGGATACAGATTTTTTAAAATTTTAAAAAGCTTTTATTAAAAACAGCTGAGCCCAATTAGGTGTAGAAAAAATCCAGAATATGATGGGCTGTATCACTAACCATTTACTGCAGCTCTCTCTGTCTTTTTTCTATTGGTTAATTATTTATCAAACTGTTCCGATTTTAGTTCTTTTGAGTAAAGAGTCTGTTAGTACAGGGCAGTGTAGACATTAGAAAACCAACTACAAATGATTAACAACATGATTAGTAGGAAATCTCTTAGCATTCTTATGGCACTCAAGTAAAGCTCTATCGCTAAGAGTGAAGTCAGTCACACTTCCTCTGAAGGGATTGAGAAGGGGATGGAAAGGTGCTGAAGTTAGCTTGGCAGACGCGATAAGGAGACAGAGAAGGTGAGAGAGCATGAGACTGGTTTTCAAAGAAAACTTGTTTGCAATGGAGACTCCTCCCATGAATGCTAATATGACTTTTGAGTTCTCTTCTCTTTCTGATATGTATACTAAGGTCCCAGTTGTGCTCGTGCTGGAACCAATGAAAGTTTTGCCATTGACTGAAGGAGAGCATGAACGAGTTCTAAGAGCTCAGTATTCTACACTGCAGGTCCACCTGTTACTAATTTCTCCTCAAGGCTTTTGTGTTTCAGAAGCATGAGATTCATGTATTTCAAAAGGAACAATATTTTACTAGGCATAATTATAAGTAAGGCTTGAAAAATTCCCTTGATACTCACTCACCTGTGGACTAAGAGTCAGGTTATCAATTACCCTGCACCTCACGTAGTCATTGATACCAGCGCAGAATGAGTGGAAAACATTGCTAGATCAGAGGGGTGGCAATTTACACCTACTTTGCACGCACTAGCACAGGGCAATATGGAATATGGCCCGATGTGTTCTTGTTACGGGAGAAAAACAACTGCCCTACCCTCCTAAACCAAGCACATTTTATTTACATTGGCGCATCAGCTCTCCCTCCCCAGTAAACTGATGATAGATCCCACTCCCACCTATTTGCAGAGCTCCTCCACTGTTCTACCCCTCCTGGGGCTCAGATAGCTCTCAGCCCCTCATCTGCAGCTCGGCCCTCTCCAACCCTCCCCTCTCCTTCTCTTAGAAGACGGTGGCTCAAAGGCCCCCCTGCCCCTCCTTTTTGGTGAGAATGGCTCTTGCTGCTTGCTGTTCATTTTACACAAACGTTCCACTCTCAGAAGAACGTCGGTGCATCAGCCACTGTCCTTACTGCCCCTGAACGAGACTAGCAGTCTCAGGGCCCCTCCACTCCCTCCCTCCTATTTATCTAGGTTCTTAGAATGACCCCTCCTGTTGAAGGAGCACCAGGGCTTGAGCTGCTCTGCTTTTTTCCTTCTCCTCAGAGCAGGAGCCAATGAATATCTAGCCCTCCTCAGCCAACACACCCTGTCAAAATCGCTATTTGCCCTCGGTGAGTGGCTGAGGAGGTTTTTCAAGGCCTAAATGTAACAGGCATTTCTTCTCTTGCATAAAGCTCACTGTCATCCAAGGACATGGCCATTTTTTGGCTCCTGAGGGGAAGGGATGGTGGTTATTGCCCACTATAAAATGTGATAATGTATGTATCAATAGAAATATGGGCAAACTGATGTTTGGTCTTGCACAGCACAGGTGTGGCATGTTGTGCGTATGCACAAGAAGTAAAACGCAATGGGTAGGCGAAGGAGTGCAGCAGAACCCAATCCTGCATCTGTGAGACAGCTGCTGACAGCAACTTAATGAGTCCTACTTAGAAGCAGGAGTGAGGCCCACAGACAAACACATAGCTAAGTTGCTCATCTGCATGCTTACTAGGCTAAAGGCCTTTTCTCCTCAGATACATGGATGCACTGCCCACATCCTTCCCCTTTTTCACCCTGCCCTTTTCAGAGTAAGGAGGCAGGCAGGCATGCAAGGGTGACCTACTTCTGTGCAATGCAGAGACCTACATCTAGCCCTTAATCTTCCTTGTTCCTACATGTAGCCTCCAAACACACCCCTGCTGGAGCCAAGTCTTGCACTCCAAGTAGTATACCATGGATTTGCAGGCTCTAGGCCATCATATTGTGGTACATATAACAATGACAACGGTAGGAAAGAAGAAAAACTCCATCATGAATGAATAAGGAACTCCTAGTCTATACATGGCCCATGTCCACCATCTGTATATCCATGAGTCTGTGTAAAGTATATTCATTTTCCCCTCTCCTCCTCATAACTCTGCCAATGTATTTGAATCCTGGCCCACAAGCCCCTCTTGCTCATTCCACTTCCAGACCCTGGATCAGAAACTCTCACATGTGCAGTTATTTTGTGATGTGGAAAAATGATACTTTGCACTTACACAGTGCATACAATATAGAGATTTGGACCTGAGGATCTAAAAATATGCCAGACATTTTTACAGATGTTAATTAAGACTCACAACATCTCTGCTACACAGGTCAGAATTATTACCTGCATTTTACAGAATGGGGAGTATAAGGCATAGAGAGATTAAGTGACTTACCCAAAGTCACACAAGAAAATTAGTGGAAAAGCCAGGGAACAAACACAGATCTCATGATTCCCAATCCTGTACTTTTGCCACATGGCCCATATATGGGATGCAATGTATGGCAATGACCCAAAATGAGGGGGACACAAAAATACATTCATACAAGAAACTTAAAATGCAGTGGGATTCACTTCCTCAGTATAAATAACTTTCTGTAATCTCAGTTCCATGATTCTGCATTTCTGCCATAATTAATAGTGAACAAGAAAAGCGAAGGCACATCACAGGTTTGGAATGCGAGCCAGTTTGGAACTAAAATGAGTGCTGTCCCTTGAAATGAGGGACACTTGGGAGGTATTCCCGACAAGGATTCCAACTTTTGGGGTGAAATCCTGGCCCCATTGAAGTCAATGGCAAAACTCCCACTGACTTCAATAAAGCCAAATTTTTACTCTTGGGATTTAAACTGAAATCCTCAATATTGAAAGGCTCTGGTATCCCACTGTTCTTCCTTTACCCCCAGTCCACATTCCAGGCTGCCTCAAGAAGCCTTAAAGGACTCTCTCAAATCTGCTATAAAACTACTAAGGATCTACCAGGTAGGTCAGCATATGGAAACTTCATTTTCTTTCAGTCACCATCTTTGTGCAATCAGGGGTACGTCTACTAGCTGAACAAAGTAAGATGTGCTTTACAGCTTCTGAAGTAACTTTAATTTCCCCCCACCATATGTTAAATTGGTGAATGCCACATCTACATGATTTTTGCCACTGTTTTTTTTTTGGCTTGGATATGTTTACTTGAGTACTCACAGCTCTTTCTAAAATAAACTAGATTCTTATTTCCACTGCAGTGTTAGCATGACACTGAAATCTGTTCCTCTGGTGGCATGAGAATCGTTAAAGTCACGCTGACAGGTCTAGCACTTGATCTGACAGCAAACAATGATTCCAAAGAAATCTTTCATTCAAAACTGGAGCTGGGAGGAGAACTTCCCTGTGTATTAACACATGAACCATCAGGTCCTAATGTTTTGAAAGGGAGAACTTGAGAGGGAGAACATACAGGGACTTCCGTAGGGATAAGACAGCAAAGGTTTTTAATTTCTTTTACATCATCACATGGTGTTCAAGAGTTTTAACTGCACCTCTTTCTTTCCCTCAACCTCTGAATTCTGACCCAGGTTTAAAGAGCAACTAAAATTTCAAATGTCAGCTAGGACTTTGTATTTCTTCTTCTGGTCTGTACTCGTCTAAAACCAGCTGGTTTTAAAACACAGGGCCAGTTTATGTCCTCAGTCACACCACTGCAATCCAACTGAAGCGAATGCTAGGCACAATGGAGAGTAAAGTTTGGCTCATTATGTCACGATATGCATTTTAAGGATCCATAATAACAATGAGCATGTAAAAAGTCAATGGGATTTCATTGAGTTGTGCCAATAAATTGTAATTTGACAGCCCATTGAGAATGCAGTGGAGAAACAGCAGAGAGTATGGTGATGGAAAACCACAAGCTTAGGCTGCAGTAGCTGGAAGTAATTGTATCTAGTGTTTTGTAAGTGGGTCATACAAAGGTAGGTGTGTGCACACAAACACATTCTCGCTCTCTCTTGCAGAGTACTGGAGCAAGCTTGGAGGTACAGAAAGCATTTAAACACAGCCACAAATGCAGAGGTAAGTATCTTACCTTCCAACCCCCCTTGCCTGAATAGAACTGTCTGGATAAGAGCTGACTTAATCCTACAGAATCCATCCTTTGCTACTCTGAGTGGGGAATTCCTGGCAGAAAATATGTTGCTGGCAGTGGACGTGCTGACACCCAGGGGATGAAAAGAACTGAGGCCCAGGTCTTTGGTGAAGAACATGGCTGAAGTTCTTGATTTCTCTCTGGGTTACAATTATTTCTTGTTTAAAATAAAAAGCAAACATTTTCGGGGAGCAAAGAGCTGGGAAAAGGAGGAGGGGGTAAGACATTACAGGGAGGTCCCCAGGTAAGGCATCCCAAAGGAAGATCACATGGTTACATCTAGGATACTGTACCATCTCCCCAATCTTGTTACCCTGACTAGTAAATGAACACATTTATGGGGTCTAATTCTGATACAAGATATCATCTTTGTCATGAAGAGGAGACAGTGGACTTCTAATTGCCTGCATTGAGTTTGGAAGACACCAGTGTAATCTGAGCATTTTTCCATATTCTGTGTTTTGACTGGCTGGCCATTCTACCTTTCCCCTGCCATGGTTGCCAAAGCTCTATATAGGGATGCCATACCCTAGGCCTTCAGGTGAAGGAAACAAATGTTCTCAAAAACAAAAAAAGTAAATGAAACAATATTCCCATTTTCACACTAGCAGCAAGCAGCAGGTGAGAATCAAAAGGTGCTAAGAGATGCAAGCATGTCCTTCCCAAAAGATACCTTCTTCTTCGCCAGAAATAAGTCTTGGTACGTGTTAGAACGGAGGAAACGTGCATAGCTGTCACTCTTCATCAGCTTGTAAATGTGCTCCTGTAAGGCAGTAGGAAAGGAAAGTTTGAGAATTGTTACCAAATGCCATTCAGAAATCAGAGGGATTCAAAACAGTCCAATGAAAGGGAGAGAGAGAGAGAGAGACAATTAGAAAGAGGGGGCAAAGTCCTAATTATAATAATTTATCATTTGTATTGTGGCAGTGCCCAGGAGCCCACGTCCTGGAGAACTCTATTATGCTAGGCACTGTACACCCCACCCAAAGATGGTCCCTGCCCCAAAGAGCTTGCATGTATTAATCTGCAGCCTAAAAAAGGGTTGATTTTGTAAAGCCCAAGGCTCTCAGAAACTACTATATTATGACCAGATTCTGCCATCTAGTGCTATTGAAATAAAAAAGACTACTGAAGGAGTGTTGTACTACTTACATGAGAATAAGCGTGAAAGAATCTGTCCCTTAATGTCCTATCATCAAGGTTCGAACAACCATTAAGAGTTTACTCTGAGGATGTCATACTTACAATCTGATACTCCGCTTCAGAGCTTTGGTGGGTGGAGTTTCTCTGCAATCAGACAGCTGTTTCTCCCCTACCCCACATCATCAACTTGCTTGTTCAGTTTTAATTCATAATTGAATGTATCTTGAGAAACTCAGTTATTTTTCTACTTCCCCTGTGAACTCTTAATAACCCTCATGCCAAACACAACAAAATCAAACCTAAATATACTTGATTGAGTAAAGACAGAGAATAGCAGTAAAAAAGAGAATCTAATTCACAAGAGGAAAAACAGGAACACTGGACATTCCTATTAGTTCTTTGCCTGTGGAAACCTCTTTTATGCTGTTAAATTGTGTATATTTATATCATAAGAAATCTTTTTCCCCGACCCCAAAGCTTCAGTATTTAAGTGCACATGAACCTTTAGGAGAGAGGGAGAACCAGTGAAGGAGTTGGTTGCAACCCAGCAACGCTCCAGCATCCATATACTTTTGCTCAATCCTGGAATTGTATGTGTGTGTCTGAGTATTACCTTATTCAACGTTTTTACTGTGTTCTCTGTAAGGTAGGCATTGCTGGCAATCTTTTTACTCAGACACAGTATAATCTTTACCCTCTGATGTGACCTGGCTTGGAGCAAACCTTTACTTGTCAGTTTTGCTTATTCACTTTCTGATGCCATCATCCTCCAGTGCTGCAATGTTCTACAGCTAATGAATAGCACAAGATTTTACAGAAGAAAAGCCTGTTTACAGCAAAGCCAAAGTCTTTCTGTCCTACTGCATCCTTAAGAAAGAGAATCTCAAAAGACATAAACACAAGCAAAGTGGGAGGGTAGCTTTATTTCCCACTACCAATACGGCCATGAGATTTGACTTCCCCTCTCCAGCAGCCATGGAATATTTGCTCTAGTTGTTTAGCATTGAACATAGAGAGCCAAACTCATAGCCAACTAGAGGGAAAAAAATAAAGTATATGTCATGAGTTTGGTCATTAAAAGCCTTATATTTTTCTTGTGTGCATGTGACATTATTTATTAACTCTCACAGTATTTCAGTAAGATTGTAGGACTCGACTGTATTAAATTCAGCTGGATGATGACTGGCTCAAGTTAATTTCCTCTTATATCACTAACTCCATGCCCAGCAACGAGTATTTCACAATGGGCAAGAAATCAAACTATGTCAAAACACACACAAGCTTTCCCCTGCCCTCAGACCAGGAGCATTGTAGAGATAATTCCCTCTGTAGGTTGGGAATATTTGGAGGCATTGATGGAGGTGACATTCCTGGTCTCTAGAGAGTAAGTGTGTCTGGAGTGTCATAGAGGATCAGTGTCTGTGTAGGGACTGGGCCTATCATGGAGATGAGATTCCCTGCCTCTGAGGACATGCTGGGAGCACAGTAGAGATTATGGCCTCTGAGGAGTGGGTGGAGGAAAGTGTAGATTTCATCACTTTTTAGCATAGTTATGAAGAATATCCTAGCCTTGGAGAAGGCTACAGGGGGGCCTGAGCACAAAAAATGTGCTGTAATACATTATTGGTGCAGGGGTTTGGATGCCACTTAATGGGGGGAAAAAACATAGTGGCCTATACCGTCCAAGGACCTGACAATTTCTGCATGGCCCAATCCCATATTCCAAGAATCATTGCCTCAGGTGGTGCCTTTAGTGAGTGCTGATGTCTGGGATCTAGTACATAATGGAGAAACCTGCATTCAGATCCTGAGGCTTGCTGTCAAAAGGAAATGATCCTCCTGGGGTAAAAATATTTTCAGTCCTCATAGCCGCAGAGACATACAGACAGATGGCACTAGATGTTTGCAGGTTAGAGAGAGATGTACCAAACCAGGTCAGTTCACAGTAAAGCTGTTGCACCTGTACTGTAACAAGGGCAAACTGTCCTCCTCCAAGCCAAGACAACAGCCTGTATTTGTTCTTTGTTAGAAAGAGTAGGGACTTTACAGCTGAGGCTGGGAGAACAAAACAATGATTCATCAGATCTTGAGATTAAAGAAACAGTGAGCTGACACCTTGACTGTGTCCCTCCCAGGAAAGACAAGGCAGAATCACACCCAAAGCTCTAATGTAGATATATTCATGTAATTTTTACTGAACATTCTCTCTGGGTTTCCACACCTTGGAACCAGCAAACAATGATATTGCAACTGTTCCTCTGCAGGGCACTGACATTATGGAATTGTTGATAATTATTCCTAAACTTTGAACATTAATGAGGAAAGGTGGTTGAGCATGGGAAATAGCTTCCAAAAGCAAAATCTTGTTCTTCAGTTATAAGTGTTCAAGGGTTTTCTTAAACTCATGACTGATGACATGACGGATATGCTGATCATTTAATAACATAGCTTTTCTGAAACATTCACTGGACATCTGAACCAGCTGTTCATGTTTTGCAGGGGCTGCAGAGTGTCTTCCAGCTTACACCTGCTCAGCATAGCTCCCACTGACTCACTTGAAGAGCTGCTGAGAATGGACCACAAAGGTTCCAGTTTGAATTGTGGCTGCAATAATGTGCATACACAACAAATCCAGCCACTGGATGGTGGATTCTAATAACTGGCTAAGTCTATACTGGTCTTTGATACCCTCCATTAATAGTCACCAATGTATTGTTGATACAACTGTCATGTTAGAATCTAGGGAACCTGCAGCCCATTGAGATGACTTGTAATTATAGTGTCTAGCACCTCACAATTTCTGAAATACACAGAAAAACAAGCAAATTCAAATAATAAATATTGGGGGAAAGACAGATTGACAGTGGGGTATGTGGGAATTTAGCTGCTCTACTCTCATATAGGGCAAATAGGCGAGTCCCATTGTACATATGACTTTAATTCATTCCTTGTTCTGGGCTATCATTACTACCTACTGTGATCCCATTTCCTAACCTACAGAGCAGCTGCATGTGTTTCTCTTCTTTACTGTGTGGCTGAGAGGATGAATAACCTGTTGGGAGGCTATAATCTTTCTCTACAGACATTTTTAGGGATGCGAAAGTGCAATGCCCTCTACAGACATGCACATTCCAAGACATACTTATCTACATGGTGCTGCTGACAGGAAATTCAGGGCTTTCCAGTTGGAACATTGGAAGAATATTGCATTTTACAGAGCATGTATCCCAAATCAACGAGTTAGCTGCAATCAGCACAGTGACTATGTAAAGCAAACACACTACTTATGCGATCCACAACGGCTCAGTTGCAACTCTGGACAGTAGAGCCTATTTCATCAGGAGAAGGTTGGGCAGTTTGCTGGAATTGCCCATTACTCTTTCTCAAGGAGTGCCATGGAAAAGTTATGTTCTGCCTTGCACTGTTGTTCAGAAGAAGGAAGAGACATTTTATTTTAGGAATAGCAACAAGTCCCCTAGCAATCCTTAGGTACTGCCCCTCAGCGTTAGCAATCACAATGAAACTAACAAAACCTCAGTCCCGTGCACTAACCTTAAGACAACACCCCTCTACGTAATGGTCTAAAAAATAAGCCTATAATATAAATCTCATAAATGACTTTTAAACATCAGTGAAGGGAGCATCCTACTTTTACAACTCTAGAGTAAGCGGAAAAGAGCATTTTTCAAGAACAGGCCAGGGGGCTGGCTCTTATTATCCATCCCATTGGCTCTGTCTAGGGCCTTCTCTCAGAGGCTCAACTCACCAAACCACAGTCTTATGTTGTTTCTGTCACATAAGAGTGCCACCATCCAATCACAGTGGACGAGGTGCCTGATATTGCATTGAAATGTAGGTCATCTAGTCCATGCCCGCAGGACCAAGTATACCTAAACCTTCCCTGATAGATGCTTGTTTAACTTGTTCATAAAAACCTCTAATGTTGTGAATCCACAACTTCCTTGGTAACCTATTTCAGTCCCTAACTACCCTTATAGTTAGAAAGTTTTTCCTAATATCTAAACGGAGTCTCCCTTGCTGTATATTAAGCCCATTACTTCTTGTCCTACCTTCAATGGACATGCAGAACTTAATGTTAATCACAGTCCTCTTGAAGACAGACCTTAACTTATCTGAAGACTGTTAACAGGTCCCAAACAACCTTCCTTTCTCAGGACTACGCCTGCCCATTTTTTTTATACCTTTCCATATAGGTCAAGTTTTCTAAAGCTTTTGTCATTTCTATTGCTTTCCTCTGGACTACCTCCAATTTGTTCACATCTTTCTTAAAGTCTGGCACCCAGAATTGGACACAGTACTCCAGGTCAGGCCTGGAGTCGAGCAGAACAATAACCTCCCGTGTCTTACAAATGACACTCCTGTTAATACAGCCCAGAATGTTATTTGCCTTTTTTGCAGTTGCATCACAGTTGACTCATAGTCAATTTGTGATTCACTATAACCCCTCCTTTCCTGCAGTAATAACGCCTAGCCAGTTAGTTCCCATTTTGTATTTGTGCTTTATTTTTCCTTCTTAAGCCCTGGTCTACACTAGGACTTTAGGTCGAATTTAGCAGCATTAAATCGATGTAAACCTGCACCCGTCCACACGATGAAGCC